TTATTAGTATTAAAAATAATACCTAGATCATAAGTTGTGATAAACCAGCAATAAAACAGTCTTGTTAACACGTAGTTTAAAAACCAGAAACAACATTTAGCATTTGTATAAGTAGCAATGGTGAAAACACGCTAAGTTGATTTTTCTGGTATTTGAATCTTACACTTTAGGTGACAGAGTCAATAAATGTCACATAAGTTTAATATTTACTTTTTTTTTTTTTTTTTAATTTTTTTTTTTCCTTTTTTTTTTCAACGTTTTTATTTATTTTTGGGACAGAGAGAGACAGAGCATGAATGGGGGAGGGGCAGAGAGAGAGGGAGACACAGAATCGGAAACAGGCTCCAGGCTCCGAGCCATCAGCCCAGAGCCTGACGCGGGGCTCGAACTCACGGACCGCGAGATCGTGACCTGGCTGAAGTCGGACGCTCAACCGACTGCGCCACCCAGGCGCCCCTATTTACTTTTAATTTATTTAAAAAGTTCCATGCCTTCTTGTACAGAGGATACCGAATGCTGGTTTATATTATATTGTTAGTTTAGAGTCACTAATATGACAATTATTTGTCATCTTATCAGGCTACATATTTGCACATCTTAAATATTTTTATAGCTTTTCTGTTTTCTGAGTTCCGAGAAGGCAAATAACCAAAGAATTATATATCATAGTATGAGTCGATAAGCTCTAACACGTAGCCCACTTGCTTCTTATTTCATGATTTTCCAGGATTCCTGGTTCCGGATAACTGACCCATGGCTAACTAACATCAGAGAACAGATCTATGGAAAATGGGATTAGACTGTTACTCAACACATTTTTTAAAACGGGAAATGGATTATTCTCATAAGAAAATGATAGTTTTCAGCCTAGAACAGACTCGGTTAATATTGGCTTCTATCATAAAATGGCCTTTGTAACTTCCAAAGTGGAAAGGGTGAAAGTACAAAAGTTTAGCATACCACGTAAGAGAATTATGTTAGGTCTTAGGGAATGTATTTGTTTTCCTGAAAGTGAAGCTGTGACGCATGAGCCAGAAGTATGACGGCCGTGAGCTGTGGGCAGCTCTTTTCTAGTCGTCTTTAAACATGTGATGACCTTCCTCGCCCTTGTGCACATCTTAAGTCTCATCCACCCTGAATGCATAAACATAAACTTCCCTTTCAGGTCTCTCCCTCCCAACGTCCTTTGCTACATTTAAGCAATAAGAGTCGGTATGAAATTTCTATTTGTAGCCCAAGAGGTAGTCATGATCTCGAGATGGATAGCCAACTTTCGTACCCTTGGAAACCAACAAAACCGCAAACAACATGTTATTGACAATCCATTGTTTGTGACTAGAGAAGATAAGGTAGAAGGGAAGGGGGGGAAGCTGCCAGGTGCTGCTGTGGCATCCCTGCCTCCAGGTCTCCTTTACTTCCCTCGCAGCTCTGGAAGTTCACCCACACCCTGGAGAAGGATGCCTGCAGACCGTGCAAGAGTCCTTAAGGAACATTAGCACCATACCGATAGTGGTGCCCTGGGAATGGCCCACATAAAATATTTCCTTTTGTCCCGTGTGCTTCACGATGAAGTCAATGGAGGCGGGGAGGTCGTATTTAGCCATTTCATCAAAACTACAAAAAAAAAAAAAAAAAAGACAAAGAAAAAAGAACATTGAAATTCCCTTGCTACTAATGGGTTGTTAACACAAACTTCCGTGAGAACACAAAGTCAAGGAAATAAAATAGCCCCAAGATAGTCTTAAAAAAAAATTTTTTTTTTTAATGTTTAGGTATTTTTGAGAGATAGAGAGACAGAGCATGAGTGAGGAGGGGCAGAGAAGAGAGGAAGACACAGAATCTGAAGCAGGTTCCAGGCTCTGAGTTGTCAGCATAGAGCCCGACGTGGGGCTCGAACCCACGGACAGCGAGATCGTGACCTGAGCCGAAGTCAGATGCCCAACCGACTGAGCCACCCAGGCGCCCCTCCCTAAGATAGTCTTATAAAGAGGGTGTTCGTGTATTCTATGTACAGGGAGATACACTAAGTGTAATGGAGCAAAAGAATGGTTGAAGGAAGGGTGGGGTTGGCCAAGGAAGGTCACTACTGAAAAAGGAGAAACACGCTTAAAATCAGACAAGCACTCTTTAATTTTCAAGCCAAAATTTGCATCCACGTTGATGGTCTGTTAAGAGACCTGACTGAGAAAAGAGCCGCATTCTAATTCATTTCATTTAAAAACCAAACCAAACATTCGATACACTTATCAAACAAAAGGAAACATTGTTTGAGTTTATTGGTACCTGAAGGCCCAGAATTCTTTGGAGTTTGTTTTCAGGTACAGGTGTTTCCTGGACCACGTAGTCCCTCGGCTGTTCCCCAGCCACACGTCATAACCGGCATCGGCCAGAATGAAACCCAGGCTGTTGTTGGGAAGGTTGGAAATCCAGCTGCTGCCAGATGTCAACAAGCCATGTTGCAAGTATACAACAAGTTTCTGAGCTGGAAAGAAAGATGCAGAGAATTTCTTTTTAAATTTTATAATATCTGGGCGCCTGGGTGGCTCAGTCGGTTAAGCGTCCGACTTCGGCTCAGGTCATGATCTCGCAGTCAGTGAGTTCCAGCCCCGCGTCGGGCTCTGGGCTGACAGCTCGGATGCTGGAGCCTGCTTCGGATCTGTGTCTCTCTCTCTCTCTGCTCCTTCCCCAGCTCACACTCTGTCTCTCTCTCGAAAATAAATAAAGATTAAAAAATTTTTTAAATAAATTTTATAATATCTGTGTAACTAGCTCATGGGAAATTCAATCTTTAATACATGACAGTTTGGAGATTAAAAAAATTTGTTTAATTTTATATTGTAGAAATAGGGTAAATTATTAATGTTTAGTCCCATTCTATGTCAGAGATATAGAGATATATGTCAGAGATATAATGTGTTAAACACATTA